GTTCCATGAATGTTCAGCAAAAACTAGCAATTTTTATGTTCAAGGTTCAGAGCTGAGGTGATTTATTTTTTCAGCGATGATTTGGCGATAAAACCATGAGGTTTAATCGATGTTTTAGTTTACAAATTACAAAAAACTTCTTTAGAAATCAAACATTAGACCACATTATTACCATTGAAACTATCCCTTTAAAAAATTACCAGTTTTTATACTTTTTTAAAACCAGGTGAGTTTCTCTTTACCAAGTAATTTTATTATGAACAGACCGATAGAAAGAACTACTAGATCAGGCCAGGGCACTCAGATTGTATGAACTCAAAAAAATAAGAAGTTGAAATTAGCGAAAGCGGCGTTTTCCTTTAAAAGTGATAATGATTGATTACAATTTGCAGTCCGCAGTTTGACGTTGAACCAGATAATTGAGACCAGTTTCCTGAGCATTGGTTGTGAAGTTGGGATTCAATATCATTACCGCGGTAGCTGGACGGTCAACGGCACTAACCTTGGGCTGAGTAAGTATTCAAAGAAAAATTAAATTTACCAGTCCGGAAAAGTAAACGCGTTTTTTTGGAATATAAAGGCCAAATTTTTGATGGCTTAAGAAAAAAAAACAGCTAAAAATTAAAACAAAAAACTCCATTGTTTTCATAATATTTCATGCTCAATTTTGGAGAAGATTGGCAAACATCACTGATATAAACTGCTGGAAGGTTTATGTGAGTTTTTGCGCAGCTTAAAAGGTCAAGTAGAATACAGTGCTGATTTAAAGTAACAAAATAATTAAAATTCGAATTTTCGAAGGCTTTTTTCTCAATTAGGGTTAAGATTAGACAAAAAATAAATTGAAAAAAAATTGCATAGAATTTTATCAGAATCATTATGGTGCAATTTTTTCTCCGAAATTCTCAACCAATTATTTACCCCGAAAATAGGTCATTTTGGCTTTTTTCAATTAATCAAAAATTACGCTGAAACTGCTTGGTTAATTTATGAACAATATATATCACAAGGAGCCTCTTCCACAAAGTTCCAGAAATGTTACATCTCCAAAAATTTGAAGAAATTGTTTAATTTTGTATTTAAGCTAAGATTTTGGGTTGTATATAGTAAAAATCACGTTATTTCACAATCACGCAAAATTTTTTTCTCCTCTATAGTTTTTTGGAGATTTAAACCTTCTAGAATTTTGTTGGGCTGTGTAAGAGGCTTCTTGATATATATTTATTATCAATTAACAAAAGAGTTACAGCGTATTTTTTGATTATCTGTAAAAAGCCAAAATGACCTGTTTTTGTGGTAAAATTTTAGCTGAGAATTTTGGAGAAAAATTGTACATTTTAATTCTGGTGAAATTCTGAGCAATTTTTATTTTTCACTATTTGTTTAATCTTAACCCAATTCTAGAAAAACGCGTTCGAGTTTCCAAAATTTATTAGTTTTGTCCGGTTAATTTAAATCAGCACTGTATAAGGTGTATCAAAAAATTATGCGATTTCTCAGACAAGATTTTGATTAAAGTCGATTCCAAAATACTAGAATACAAATTTTTAAAAGCTCGTAGTTCTTGATAAAATACTCATTATTGGTTTTTGGATTAAAATTAATTGAGTTTCAGTAATAATTATAGAGGGAAAAGGAAAAAAAATGAAGAAACATTAGCTCATTTCTTTTTCTTTTTGATAATCAAAGGTTGCTACTTTCATGTCACCTAACTGTATAATAATAATTTTTTGACCGTGAGATTAATCCTTCAAAAAAAATGCAAACCAATCGGGGTAATAAAAAATGATGCAAAATTAAATGCTTATTGGACTAAGCGATAGTTCGATAGCAAATGGAGAAAAAAAAGTTTTGGCCCTCACTGGTGTTATTATGGGATATTTTCAACCAAAAATTTGACAAAAATCAGCATATAAAAAAACAGCTGTAGCCAATGCTTAAGAGTGTTTTTATTACGACTAGTCGTCATGTATTTTAAACTCAAACAGAAAATGCAATTCAAAACTGGTTCAACGAAACCGAAAACTAAAATCCGTGCATTTTACTTATAGCTGTGGAAATTAAGTCTGTATTAAAATCAGTATCACAGAAACTACAACATTTTTCTCAAAATGGTATTGTCCAAAGTTCCGCCCTGCGATTATGGAACAAAAAATCAAAAGAGCAAGAAGAAGATTTCGCCTTACAAAAAAATGAAACAACCACTATGACCAACCGTATCAGATAAAAATTTTACTTTTTTCATTTGTCACTAGTCGTCATGTATTTTAAACTCAAAAAGAAAATGCACCTCAAAACTGGTTCAACGAATCCTAAAACGAAAAAAAAACGCTTTTCAATCAATTTCCTGCTATACATCCCTCTTTGCCATTAAAAAAACGTATGATAATGTCAAGTTGAAAATTTCCCATGTGTAGGTAAATGAATATTTAGAAAATTTCTAACTGAGGAATAACACGAAAAAAAGTTTCCATACCATAGAATTGCATGAGAAGCAATTTTTGGGCCACGGAGAATTATGACATATGTTTGAAGAATAAGATAAATTTATGTCTAGAAAAAAAAGAACAGGTAAGATAACCCTAATACAAAACAGCACAAAACAAAAATGGTATGAACTTCAAACATGAATCGTTTCTTCAGATTAACACGATTCTTTGATTTTTTTTTATTTTCACACAGATTTGTATCAAAAAACGTTCTAAATGACTAGAAAGCTTTTTTGCCAAACAATTAAGTTTTGAAATTTTTGTTAGTTTCTGAAGTGAATAGGATATCTGTGATCTATAATTCCGGACTACACAAACTGACAAAATGAAAATTGCTGGCACTTTTCGTTTAAAATTTTTTTTTTGATCATAGAAGTGATTTTGCGAATTAAAAGGGGCAAACAAAACTTTTTAAACTCAAATTTGGTGTAATTTTCATGAAAAAAGAAAGCTCATCTGGCCTTTTGATTAAAAACAATATCATAGAGTTGATGACAAAGTGCTCTCAATTGACAAAAAAAATCGTAAATTTTTTATAGGTGAAAGTTATTACAACAATTTTTAATCTAGAATTGACTAGAATTGACAGAAGATTATGGCACCGACTGTTGACACGCTAAACTAAATAACAACATAACTGGGAATGATATCTGAACAGATCGCAAGAAAAAAGAGGGACAAAATTTGATACAATTCACGATTAAAAAGAACAGCTAAAAATCTGCAACCAACAAAATTTATTGGCAAAAACTAGAACACAATGTTTTATTTAATTATATTCCACTTAGTTTTTTTATAGTCTCAATTTTTTAGTTTCAATCAATATAAAAAAAATAATTTTAATCAGGACTCATTTTTTAATAATCCTGATTGGAAACTCACAACAGAAAAAAAAACAAATTGTAAATCTGCATCAGAAAATATTCCTTTTAATATTACTCCTAAGATTAAAAAAAAGGCTACAAAGTCTAATGACAACTGGTCATACTGAAAAATGGGCCTCTAAAACTGAAAGACTTTTTTTCATCCCACTAAAAAATTGGAAAAAATTTACAACCGTCAAATCGACAAAAATGTTGTTTTAAACGTCTCATGAATATATCGTTTTTAAATCTATGAATATTGTATGACAAGAATTTTCGCATAGACTTCAAAGCATGGTTTTCATGGAATATTATCATAAGCTTTGTTCAAACCAATACAAAACAAGTTTCGAATGCAAACGTTTATTTTTGTCTTCATAGAGCACAACATTTCTGTTGTGCATAAAGATTTATGGGTTGTCTTAGAACCGTAAGCACAAATAGCTCTTTTTGTATATCACTTTTGTATATGTCAACAAGGTGGAATACTTCCGCTTTTCTTTCAGAGTTTCTCATTTTTAAAAAAAATCTCAATTGAACTCTAAATAGTATTATCACTTCAACTGCTACGTTTAAATACGAAAACTTATCTTTATGTGACAGGAATTTCTCTAGTGCGGGTTTCCATACAATTTTCGAAAATTTTTGTCGACCTTTTTTCTAGGTAGACCAAAATGATTTTCCGAGCGCTCCCAGAACACTTCATAAACCATATTGTGACGTAAGGCACTTTTTAAAAAAAATTGAAATTTTGAACAATTAATCGCGTTTCTTTTGTCGCGCAACCCTCTTCAAAATTAGTGTTTATTGGCTCACAGGTCGCGTTTAGAAAAATTTTGGGGTTGGTGGCCAAAAATGGATGCATAAAGTAATACCAAAGGGGGACCCTTTGGTTAATGAGGGGGTCGAAACCCTGAGGAGGGGGGGGCGTCCCTGAGGGGGGATGTGACATCTTAAATGCAATATTAGATGTTTTCGAGGAATACACAACTTTCACAGTAACAATAAAAAAACAAGACTACTTAGAACATTGGAGTTGTACAAATTTGAAATATAGTGTTAGAGATACAATTCATTCATGAAATGTTTTTTGTCATAGTTGATAAGGTTAGACAAATCCCGAGTTGACCCAGAAAAAAAATCATTTAACACGAACTGAAGAAAAAGTTTTCCGTAACTTTTTTATTGCACAGAGTTAGTGAGGGGGTCGAATCCCCGAGGGGGTGGGGGCGTCCCTGAGGGAGGATGTGACATATTAAACGCAATATTAGATATTTTTGAGGAATGCACAATTTTCTCAGTAACATTAAAAAACAAGGCTACTTAGAACATTGGAGTTGTACAATTTTGAAACATAGTTTTAGAGATACAATTGATTCACGAATTTTTTTTTGTCATAGTTGATAAGGTTAGACGAATCTCGAGTTGACCCAGAAAAAAATCATTTAATACGAACTGAAGAAAAAGTTTTCCGTAACTTTTTCCTTGCACCTTATTGAATAGAGAAAACTGAAAAAGATGCCTATCAATAACTTGTTTGTCATATGAAGAAACTGTGTAACTGCCGCTTTTCATATAACCAAATTGAGTGTCTTGTTTCACTTTCTTTGGTTTATTTTACTTAAGTTCGTTCACTCCCATTAAGGAACAAATCTTGATTTCAATGGCACTTGAGATACGAGTATATTTAAAATCGTTCATCATAGCACCATAGCGTGACCTCCTACTCTTTGTATAAAAAAAACTAGTTTTTCAACTATGTTTTGAAAACATTTCACATCGAGTTTTTGACTGAAACTTTTCATGGTAAATTGTTTTTCTCTAAGTTTTTGGTAAAAAGTTCACGGCCGAAAAAAAAAGTTTCACTAAATTTTTTATTCGTTTTCAGAAAAACTATATAAAAAAACCTCGAGCACTAAAGTTTCAAAAATGAATTTCCGCATGCAAACAAAATTTGAATGGTTCATTTGAGTACATTACTGACTTGGCGCTCCAAAGTAGGTAATTTTCTTTGTCATTTTGAAGTGTTAAAATCATACTTTTTGTTACGCTGGAAAACTAGAAAATATGACGTCGTATATTTTTAATTCATAAAAACATTAATCTTAGATTTTTATGACTATTAATAACCATTGGTTTAGCTCTTAATAAGGGGTGCAACGATGAAGATTTTCAGTTTTTTTGATGTTTTCGTTCATACATAAATTGACAGAAAACAAAGATTCGCTTCCATGAACAGAGCTTTAGACATTTAAACATATGTGACAGATTTTTAGAGTTATGTGATAGATATTAAAGTTACCACCATTTTTTTCAACGTTTGATTTTTCTGTTAGTAATAAAAACAAATTACTGTACAAATACAAACCGCAGTTCTATGCTTTGATGGATTTTAGTATAATAAGTAATTCCTGAAAAATTATATAACAAAAAGGGAAAAAACTTTTACAACAGACAAAATTTTACAAATCTAGAAGAAAAAAATTAAATTAAGCTGTTCTGAAAATGTTTACATCACAATTTTTCTGCTCCCAAATTTTTTTGCAGACGAATAGAACGGATATGAGTCATTAATTTATCAACTCGCTGGTTCATACTTATCATTAATTATAAATTTCGACCAAATATTTATTAAATGTTCGTTATGTCATTATATCCTCAAACATCGAAACAATTGTCGATTCTCTTTTTCATTTGTTTTGCTTTGGTAACCTTTACTTACTTGTACTCTGAAAGCAGTGGTACAAACACACTGGAGCAATTCCAGTTTTACCGTTTTTCATATACTTACCAACATAAATTGGCTCAAGCAGATGACAAGAATCAGATGCAGATACTACTTCTGACTTACATGCGATCAGGTCAAACGGGGATTCCAAATACTTAATTAACTCAACTTCAAATATAAACATGGCGACTTAGATTTTTTAACAACAAAAATGCTTTTGAATTTTTAGAAAAAAAAACATTTTCTTTTGTTTTCAACTTCAAAAAATCTACCACAAATCTTTTTTTCTTGGTTTGATTGTATTTTTTGTCGATAGTTTTTCTACATAATCAGCATTAAACAAAATGAAAAATCTGAGAAAAAAACGGTTCCCTACGTTCTCAACTTCAAAATTTCAACTGTTCACAAGTGTACTAGAAATCTATTTTTTGGTTGACAGTGTTTTTGGTCTATCTTTTTTCTACTAATTCAGCTTTATTTACATTGAAAATTCTTAGAAAAAATAAACGCTTTTACCGCGTTTTCAAGAAAAAATCAAAGGGTTTCCTACGTTTTCAAATGCAAAAATTAATAGTTTATCAACAGTTTACTAGAAATCTATTTATTTGGTTAATAGCATTTTGCTCCATCTTTTTTCTACTAATTCAGCATTATTTAAATGAAAATGTTTAGAAAAATCAACGGGTTTCCTAGATTTTCTAATACAAAGTTTCAACTGTTTATCACCAGTGTACTGGAAATCTATTTTTTTGGCTGACAAAATTTTTTGGTCTAACTTTTTTTTCACTTATTCAGCATTATTTAAATAGAAACTTCTTCGAAAAAATCAATGGTTTCCTACGTTTTCAAATACAAAAATTTTTCTGCTTGTCATTATTTTTTGGCTTGATGTAATAGCTGATAATATATTTTCAGCATTATATACATTGAAAACTTTCCCTCTCGGAGACGTTTGAAAATGGACCATTTGGTGTAAATACGTTCTCTTAGACTTGATACTGGGTTAGAGTACAATTTTTTTTCGGATTATGAGGCTAAATTTTATTATGTTATTATGATTTAGAAAAAAATAAAGCTCATTTTGGAGGTCGCTAGATGAGCTCGGTCTCTTAATTTTAAATTACATCTGAAATCAAAAATTTACCTCATCTTTTCTTTTTTTTTCGAAAATGCCCTCATATGATACTCGATTGTTTTTCTTTGAAAAAAACTTTTAAACACCTACTTTTTAAAAGAAAGCAAGTTTAAACAAGCTGAACATTGAAACCCCCTGCTACAGGTTCCACATTGCTTGGTGACGTTTTGAGCAAAATAGAAAATTCTTACTATTTTTATGAGCCCTTCCGGTTAATCCAGCAATATCTCAACGCAAGCCAAATTTCTTCTTCAGATGAACTCTTCAAGAAAATTACGGACGATTGGACTGCTAAGTTATTCAATTGTAATTTGAACCAAACAATTTTCAACGTAACTTTCACCCAGAATATCACAACAAAGTTTTCGAGATTTCTAACAGAAGGTATGCTTAGTCATTCAGGTATTTCTAATCCGTGGATTGATCAATTCAATCGAAACGACACGATAGTTCTAAACGAAGAACAAAAATGCAAAAAATCGAATTTTTTAATTTTAAAAACGATTCGAGTTTCAAATTTGGAACGAACATGGAAAGTAATGCGCAACTTCAAAAATATGAAGATTATTCATTTATTAAGAGATCCGCGAGCACGTCAAAATTCTCAGAAGAAATTAGGCTTTTATCAAAATTCAACCAAAGTTTGCAAAAACTGTGCAAACAATTTGGAAATTGCCAGAAAACTTACCAACGAAGACAACAAATTTGCAATTAATTATTTCGAATTTATTTATGAGAAATTAGCAGTCGATTCTATTTCTTACATGGAAAATATGGTATCTAACTTCTTGAAAATTTCAATTAGTGAAGAACTGAAGAACTTTATAGCCAATATCACGACGGCTTCAACCAGCACCCAAAACGAAAAACTACCCTCTTTTCTTGCAACCAGTCGGAACATTTCGACAATTTCGTCCAAATGGAGAGTTCAACTGAGTGCTGAGCTCAGAAATGAGACCGAAAATAATCCGCTCTGCCAGAAGATAATGGATTTGGTCGGATATGAAAACTAGTTTCATCCGGTTGCATTATTATTTGAAACTGAAATGCATACTAAGTTATTGATGTATATTTTTTATGTCATAGTTCCGACTTTCGATACGAAAGTAACGGAATATTTGTGCTCGGGATAGGTTTTTTTTTTCTTCAGACAATCTTCGACTTTTTAACTAGCCATTTTTGACGGAATTTTTTTTATGTCATTCAAAAGGTATTGTTGCCCTGAGCTCAAATTTGAAAAGATTTTTCACCTGTGGTATTTTTCGTACAGTTTTGGGGGTTTAAATGTTGCCATTTTGGCCAATTTGGGACAATTAACGCGCGATATAATTCGCGCTATTAACGCGTAAGCGGAGATTTAATCCGTCTTAAAAATCGTTCCAATTTGGTTCATAGAAGCTTATTTGTCTTAACTGATTTGTTACAAGGAGCAGAATCTATCCTTTTGTTCTTTATATGGCGTGTGGGGGGATGATTTTCATAAAAAATTTCAAATTTTACAAAAAAAAATTATATTTTATTTTATTACATTTAATTTTTTAGGTTATTACTGCTCATTAAACCTTAAAAGACAGTCGGAACATTCAGTGCTTTGCCCTGATACGAGCAGTCTTGCTCATTTTTTAAACTTGAATTATTTTGGTCTTGGCCAGTTTTCCCGATCAGCATCTTGTTTTTGTTCCGACTTTCGATACGAAAGTAACGGAATATTTGTGCTCGGGGTGGATTTTTTTTTCTTCAGACGAATTTCGACTTTTTAACTAGCCATTTTTGACAGAATTTTTTAATACCATTCAAAAAGTAATGTTGTCCTGAGCTCCAATTGGAAAAGATATTTCACCTGTGATCATTTTTCGAAAAGTTACGGGGGTTTAAAGATTGCCATTTTGGCCAATTTGGGACAATTAACGCGCGATATATTTCGCGCTATTAACGCGTAAGCGGAGAGTTAATCCGTCTTAGAAGTTGTTTAAAATTGGATAAAAGAAGCTTATTTGCCATAATTGGTTTGTTACAAGGAGTGAAGATTATCCTTTTGTACTTTATATGGCGTGTGGGGAGATGATTTTCAAAAAAATTTCAAATTTTAGAAAAAAAATTTTTTTTTTGTTTTGTTTTATTGAATTTTTCAATGTTATTACTGCTCCATAAACCTTAAAAGGCAGTTGGAACATTCAGGGCTTTGTTCTGGTACGAGCAGTCTTGTTAGCTTTTAGATTTTATTGGAATTCCACCACTTTTTCAGAAAAGTATAGAACGAGAAACAAAAAAATTTTGTTTTGTTTTTTTGACGACTTACTGAGAGTAATTTTATTTCAATGATTTCGAGTGCAGTGAGTTAGTTTGTTTGCAAATCTTCTTTGAAATAATCTGTATGGTATTTTTTTTTCAAAAATAACGAAGCGTTAACAACGTTTCAATTTAAATGGCAGTTGCAATAAGAATGTTTAACATTATCACTCAGATTAACAGATGTTTTACAAGTAAGCAAAACGATTAATACGAGTTCTTGCACAGCTCAAACTCTTTTTTTCCACTGGAATCTACAAAACAAGACAAGATAAATAAGAGCAAGAACAAAAGTTCTTAACTTTGCATGCTTTAAAAAACTGCTTATTCCCAAATTCCGAACCCTTCCTTCATAAATTATCAAAAAAAAAAAATCCGAAAATTAAACAGCAGTTTGCTGTGAAATATATTCTTCCAACCTGCTCGCTGCTCACAGTCACAAGTATTTTTGCAGTCTTTCTGTTTGTCTTTCAATTCAACGTTTTTTTCATAGTTGTGTTACGTGTTATTGTGTTTAAACGCATGATATCACGATGATAACTATAAGGATAAATCTAATCATAATAGTTAGTTTATTCAATACTTTATGGCAATCACAAATTGGTGTTCCAGAATTTCAAAGTTCGTTAATTTATGGACTATTTATGACTAAATCAGTGATGTAAAATATGACAAACAATTATGCTCAAATTTGTTATGGTGTTCATCATGACAAGTTTCATTGTATTATGACAACGTGAAAACAATTTTCAAAATTGAAATTAAAATATGAAAAACCAGCTAAAGTTTTTTCATGAATGTTTTGTGTTTGATCTGCTCTTTTTTATAAATTACCAGCTTATACTATCCAAACAAACAGTGGCTCTTTTTTCTTTCACCTTCCATCTGCAAAATTTAACAAGTGAAATTTTTTTTCACCTCATCTGAATGTTGGTAAAATTGGCATGTGAACTATTTAGGCCATGACAAACATATTTGGTCTTCAAGTTTAACCTTGTATAACTCTTCGTTACATCATAAAAATGATGCTTATGGGAGGTGGGGGTGGAAAAAGAGCCCAAACAATAGATAATTTCTGAACACATGTTTCTTAAATTGGGTTAGGTAAAGACTGTAAAATTGATCAATAAATGCTTAAAATCTCACCAGAATTAATATTAAGTTTGCAAAATTTGAATAGAAAGCTTCACCTTAAAGTAGATCAAAAAGTTAGGCCACAACAATCTATAATCATTGACTCATCCCAACAGAGTTCGAAAAGAGAAAACTTCTAAAGGCTTTTAAAACTGTAGAAGTTACGTTCTTCAAGGCTATGAACTAATTTGCAGGAAATCGAGGATTTTCAGATGTTTTTTTTTGCTCTTTTCGTGTTTGTCTCGATACGTTTCAAAATTTCAAATTTTTAGGTTGTTCTAAGTGTAATTACGACTAATTACAATTTTAAAATCAGTAAGTTATGATGTAAGCTTACGCAAGATTGAATCTGTTTATAATTGCTAGTTTGTTCAACATGACTTTATCAAAATAGTGTTTCAAAATTGAAATTCAAATTTTGTTATAGTTTTGTTTATAGTTTTTATCTTAATTTGAGTAAATGTGGATCAAAAACTTCCATGAATGACTTTTTGTAAAGTTATATTATGGTCTTGTTTTTCTCAAATCAAGATGCACCTTATAAACCTTTCAAAATTTTTCGAAAAAAATTTCAACATGGTCATAATGAACTGATACTTGGCATGGTGAACAAACTATTGTGAACATACTTGTTGTTCATAATTTATATGGTAGCAATGCTCCTAGCTATAGTAACAAGATAAACCACTTGAGTTTTGCGTGGGGGTAGATTGGGATTGTCAAAATAGTTACAATTTTTAGTCATATTTAAGCATCATTTTTGGCTAAGTTTAACAGCACAAAAAAAACGCTTTTAAAATTTCATGTTAGACCTGCACATGACTCAGACCAATTTGAGTTTTAAATTGATATAAATTGATCATATATGTCATGAAAATCAGTTTTCGGGTCCCATTTAGATACGTAAATCGATTTAGATTGGGTTTAATGGACTATCATAGTTTAATAGAATATATTGATTTTTTTGCGTCTCTTTTTAATTGACTTTTTTAAGAGAAATTTTCAATGCAATACTTTGGTTTGATGATGTTTTGAGTGACTTTGAAAGGAAAGTTAATTACTGAAAAGAATTATAAGACATTGTTTTCAGGTATAACTATAGTTTTTTTGCTCTCTAGATATGGGTGCGATAATGTTGCAGGACTCTAAAGCCCTAAAAGGTGCAAAAATTCATGGCTGATGTTTGACGACGATACCCAGATGTTGAAACACTTAAGTGGAAAATGAGCATAAATTATGGCTTCAAAATTTTCATTGAATGTCACGTATTTGCGATATCGCAAACAGCGTGAAAATGCGCTCATGATAGTTTTATCAGCATGTGTAACTTTTTAAATGTTGGCTCGCTGTCGCCAATTTTGCAAAAACTAAACAATCAAGGTTGCTTCTAAACATTTATAGCAAATCATTATTGTTCCGACTTTCGATACGAAAGTAACGGAAAATTTGTGATCCGGGTGGGTTTTTTTTTCTTCAGACAAATTTCGACTTTTTAACTAGCCATTTTTGACAGAATTTTTTTTATATCATTCAAAAGGTATTGTTGTCTTGAGCTTAAATTTGAAAAGATATTTCACCTGTGATCATTTTTCGTAAAGTTATGAGGGTTTAAATATTGCCATTTTGGGCATTTTGACCAATTTGGGACAATTAACGCGCGATATAATTCGCGCTATTAACGCATAAGCGGAGATTAATCCGTCTTATAAATCGTTCCAAATTGGTTGAACGAAGCTTATTTGCCATAATTGATTTGTTACAAGGAACGAAATTTCTCTTTTTGCATTTTAAATGCGTGTGGGGGGATGATTTTCATAAAAAATTTCAAATTTTAGAAAAAAAAATTTTCTTTTTATTTTATTTCATTTAATTTTTTTTTATGTTATTACTGTTGCTCCATAAACCTTAAAAGGCAGTCGGAACATTCAGGTCTTGTTCATGTTTGGGGGAAGTGGAAAAGAGCCTGAAATTGTTATAAGAAACGTTTTAATGTAGCGAATTTTGGTCAAACCCGATGTGTGTGTTATGTTTAAATTACAGTCTTATGCTCTTTTGCACTCCCCTCCCGTGTTTTAATTTTTCCATCTTCTCAGTTAATTGTCTAACGTTTCAATGGCTCTTTTTCCTTCCCCCCCACCTCACACGAGCATCAATTTTACGGTATAACGAGTGGTTTTACAAGGTTAATTATGAAGACTAAATATGTTTGCCATGGCTTTATTAGTCCGTATGCCAACTTTCAAAACAACCGAATAATGTGAACAAACTTTACATTTGTAAAATGTTGCAGGTGGGGGGGGGGGAGGAAAAAGAGCCGTTTCAATATGGCTGAATGCGTGCGTGATGTTACGATGTAATGAATAAAGATTAAATATATTCTCAATTGCTAGTTTGATCACCACAAATTTTAGTTACAATGTGACTGACAACCTAAATAAGTTTTTTCAAAACTGAAAATCACATGGGGGGGGGGAATGGAAAAGAGTCTAATCTTACGCAAACACTCATTGTGTAATTTTGCGTAAGACTGTAATTTAGGCATTTTTCTTCTTTATATCACCTGCAGGAGGGTGGGCTGAAGTTCCAGGTATCGCCTCCCATGTGTTTCCTTGATTGGCAGTGGCTTGTTGACCTGCATTAAGAGAAACAACTAAATCAGGCTCTTTTCCAGTTTCCCCCTTTCAAAATACCGAGTTTTAT